GATCCTCTGGATCACAGTATATGCATAAGAAGTCAGGTGCCCGATGAATCTGTTTGTGGCTGACAAGTCCAATTTGAGAGTGACACAGCTTGTTACAAGTTTCACAGATCCATGTGTTGTCTGAGTTTGAGTCCAAGTTTACAGCATGCTGCTTTCTTCTTTCTCACTTTGCTTTCATCCTCTGGATGAAAGACACATCGTGTTGAGCTGCACCCACTGCCAGAAGTTCCCTCCAGATTGGACAGGATTCTGCATGCTCCTCCCAGCTTTCTATGTTGATACTGAACAACTTCATATAATTTTTGCACGTATTATGATACTGCTATAGAGGGCAACCTCACTTTCTAGAGCCCTCCTGAATCTTGCTATACAAAATATTCTTGAGGCTGTGGTCTCCTTGCAGCCTCCTCTTCTTGATAGTGGTTTCTAAGAGTGTCACTTATACACACTCCAGTACTTCTTTGTTTAGTATTCTGTCTTTCCACTTTGTTTTCAGGATCTTATACATACATCTCATGTGGAAGCTGTTTAGTCTCCTGATGTGCTTAGCATATGTAGTCCATGTTTCTGAACCATAAAGCAGGGAAGACAGCACACATGTCTTGTAGATTCTCATCCTTACCTTAATTGATAGTTTGTTGTTATTCCATGCACATTTCTGTAATAGCCTGAAATTCTTAGCTGCTTTTCCAATTCTGTTAATCAGATTAGTCTGTAAGTCAAGATTTCTGATGATCATAAAACCCAAGTAGCAAAATGTTGATGACAACAAGGGATTTACCCTCCAGAGTGATGTCAGTCACTGGTTTTTCCATCCCTTGGTATATGATCACAATGATCACAGTCTTCTTGAGACTAATTGTCAATCCAAAGATCTTCTATGATGCAGAAATTTGCCCAAGTGATTTTGCAGGGATTCACAGTGGGCAACTAAGGCTGCATCATCAGCAAACAGGAAATCTCTCAGAACCAGCTCTTTTCATCTTGGTTTCACTCTAAACCTTGCAATGTTGAACAACCCTGTGTCTAGTCTGGTTCAAAGATAAATGTCATCCCTGCTTCCCTTGAATGCATGAAGA